GAAACATTTGTTTTTTCGATCGATGAATTTTTCTCCTCGTTTGTTTTCGCGTTTTATGGTTGTGGTGGTTTTTTCATTGGAAATTATTTTGTTCAAGGAACTTTTTTCTTCTAATTTTCCAACCGAGCTTTATCGAATTGATCGCAGCTTGCCCGATACTCGTTGCCATATTTTTCAATATTCGCTATATAACAACGTTTTAGAAAATCTCTTTATATAGCTACGAAAACATCGTAAAATATCGTATAAGATCGAGCGTTAAAATCTTCATAATATTTAAAATGAAAAGATCGAATATAAACGGTAAAAATGTATCCTACTTTTCATCTCGTAATATCTGACGCGATAAATATTTTTCAATATGTACAGATTACACGTTAAAAAATAAAAAAAACAAACCATCCTGAAGATTCGTTGGAAAATTAAAAAATCCATTACAATGATAAAAAATGAAATTCTTGTTCGAATAATTCACACATACCACGTTGAAAAGTATCGTATAACGAATTCGATACTCGTAATTCGATATTTCGTACCATTGAAAATAATACGAGAGAAACAAATTAATGATATTTATACGTTGTACAAATATAAATAAATTTACGTACGAGAAGATTAAAAAAAATATCCCTTTTATAATTCCTTTATAGAAGAAAGACAAAGGGATTTACGCGTTATTAAATTTAACACCAGATATATTTTATCCTCGTCGTTTGAAAAACACCCACTTAAAAATAATACGTCATCGGCGAATACGATTTTACGATCGTGAAAATATAAAATAAAATCCTTTAGTTTCCAAGTCTTTGTACGGAATCGATATCGTTAAAAAAATGTTCACAAAGCAAGGAACATTTCTCTTGTCCTGCAAAAATTGTAATGTATGGCTTGCAATGAATCCGCTATTAGCTTTATTCGGCGCACCCGCAGGAAATGAAAGCTGGCAACTATCAGAATCGAGATTTTTCACTGTTCTAAAAATTTCACGTGCATCGAACGTTTAATTAATGCATGCCCGCTGTAAACGAATAATTCTCCTCTTTTTATCTCTCTTATGTAATTTACTTTAAAAAATATTTACGAATATTTATTTTTCATTCTAAATTTTATTCTATCATGAAAAATCGAGAATTGTGAATTTTTTTTTTTTTCTAAGACATCGTCTTAAATCTTTTAGAGTTCAAATACTATAATAATCCTTTTTATCTCTATCAATCTTTATGTTTTTTAACACATTTTTCAAGTTTTATTCGAGCCATACAAACACACACATTTTTTTCGAATCTAAATATATTAAAGTCACGCACATATCGTAAATAGATTTAAACGTTTCGTAATATTTATTCTTATAAAAAGTTATCTTTAACAAGGACTTTAATAAGAAATTTATGCAAAAGATGATTTTGAAATAATGAAATGATCTTAATCCTCGATTCTTTGAATTCCTTTCTTTTTAGGACGTAATTTTATGCAGCGGATGTTCCTGCGCCCTCGATCTCTGTATAACAGCGTTAGCACGAAGGGAGCAAAATATCCTGATACCACGACCCGGTTTCTCTATCTATCGAACACTTGCGGAAGGTCTTGGTATCAACGTAAAATCTTACGACTTACGCGTAAGTATAAGCTTATTTCGAAAATTTTTACCCGTATACCATATATTTTCAATCTTAAATTTGTCGATATCGATAATAAGTTTTCAAATAAAACTGAATTTTTTTTATTTCTATGCTGTTACGTCTACTTTTCTTTTTAATACATCGCAATATGTATGCCAAAAAAAAAAAAAAAAATTTACATTTACTTTCACAATATTTTTCATCAATTTCGTCAAAGAGCGTTTGAAAAAAAGAAAACGTAATAAGATAAACAATTTGCAAATCGATTTTCTACGCCGTAAAAGAAAAAAAAATCGTAAACATGTTTACCGCGATGAATAACGCGATAAATTAAACGATATTTGCCTCACGAGTTCCAATACGATTTTTCCAATCTGTGCAAATACGAATTTTCGATTCCAAAAAAGGGAAATGTTAAACCTCGTAGTAATAACGAGGCCTCTTCCGTCATTCCTTTGTCTCCTTTGCCGCGAGTTTTAATGCCTCCTCCTTTCTCGTCCGGATAGCGCGAACTATTTTACCACAGAGAAGTAATTAAAACCGCGCTACCGTAATTCTCGTTGCTCTACCGAACAGAGAAAAAGAGAAAGAGAGAGTGCAAGAGTTGACACGGATTATATTCTGACGTAAGGTGGGCCTATTGCTCGGTACGCGACACGTTTATTCGTCAGGTGCCACGTGAAAAATTTACTCGTCATACGCTATGTCATGATTCTCTCGAGAATCATTATCGAATGTCAAGGTTCACTAGGTATTAATTTTGGAACCTTTCGTGTTTCGCTTTTAGTGGCTTTCGTGCGGTTAACTTTTAAATATTTTAATCAGAGGAAGCTATGTCTCGATACTTATCGATTTTCTAACGATGTTTCGATATTTTACTTTTCCCTATCTCTATGGTTTTTTTTTAACGTTATTAACGTATTTGTGGTTGAAGGAAAGTGTGATTAGAAATATCGGTGGTTAAACTTTTTAAATTTTTTAACTTGTTTTTTTTTTAAACGAAAATTCATACTTGTATTCCTTCTTTAAATGTCATGGATAAAATACTTCATCGAGATACGATGCAAATTTTTACACGCGACACGCTGAATTAATATTGCAAATGAGATTAAAATCAGCAGATTTATAACAATATATCATGGAACGTATGCTAATAATTGTATTTTTTTAATCATCGTCGAAAATCGAATATCAAATCTTGCTACTTATTGCACGATTCCTACCATTTTTTGTGTCTTATGTGCTCACACGTTATTGATCCAGCCACTGTATACCGGGCGTCTTGAAAGTACTTGCTATTCGCGTCGGGGAAAAGTAAACAATTTTCCGAATTACGTACGAACGTAAAATGACGAAATAACATTTTGTTGCGTGCTACGTCATGTTTCCTTACAATTTTACGGCGTCAAAGATAGCGTTAACGCGTGTAAATATCGTGGAAAATGTATAACTGCGATAAGTTAGGAGTATTTAAAGTCGTATATATCAGCCATACTTGTTCAATAACGATTAACTTGAAAAAGCAATAAAAATGTGTTGTACAGAGATATCGTAAATCGCGTTACTTTAAAACGGATATCAGAAAACTATTTAAGATAATTAAAAGTTTGCGAGAAGGGGTTAGAAATTGCTTCGAATTAAGAGGAATTACATTTCGAAGCGGTATCCTCAATAATAATCAATTTAATATTGTTCGACCTAAATAGAGGGAATTGACTTTTATATTTTTCAACGCCAGTTCTCTCGATTCGATCTGTCTTCTATATTTACAGTAGCTTTTAAACGAACCTTTAAACGTAATTTAAGTTTTCATTCAATTTCACGTTCCATGCATTCCGAATAATATTGAGAGTAATTAAATTGTCGATAGATTTCTACGATGATATTTTTGAAGCTACTAGTATATTTTAAGTTTTTTTCATAACTAGTAGTAGTAGATATCGAATGAACGAATGGCAAAATAAAAAAAAAATATTACTCAAAATATGTATAAAAATAATATATATTTTCGAATGAAAAAATTATTTGCTCGATCAATTTTTCTAATTTTTCTCCTTTGAATTTATTTTTCCAATTGGGAATTATATTACTTTGTAACGTTTCTATTCTAACCGGTTATCTATACCTTGCGTTAATGTCAATCAATTTACATTTTCAGCCCGAACTCGGTTGGGAAATCGATCTAGACGATTTGGAATCACAGATCGACGAATCGACGGCAGCGATCGTTATAAATAATCCTTCGAATCCGTGCGGTTCCGTGTTCAGCAAGGATCACGCACTCGACATTCTCGATGTAGCCGCTCGTTACTACGTACCAATTATAGCCGATGAGATTTACGAGCATATGGTACGTGCTTAATATTTTCTCTCGTTCATAACGTATTTCACAAATTTTTCCCAACAAATGGTACATTTCTTTCGTCCTTTCCTTTTCACCAGGTGTTTCCGGGACAAACTTTTCACTCGTTAGCGTCCTTGTCGAGAGAAGTTCCGATTTTGTCGTGCAGCGGTTTGACAAAAAGGTATCGGAGAGATCAACTTTGAAATTTTTCACCATCTCGCTCCACGTATAGTATATATTTACTCGATCCATATGTGCATACGTATTCTGTATATACATAATTGCACGAGCATCGTGAAATCGATATTACAGTGAATTCTTGATAGCTCGATGAGATATTTAGTGATATCACATATCATAAACTACACAGATTGTAATTTAGCTTTTGAAAATTTGATGTAAATTTAATAGAAAGCATAATATAAAAAATCATAATAACACGTCACTTTCCATTGTTCAATTTGATTAATGCAATTTCGAGGATAATGCACTAACGTAATAATCGAATCACGATAATGGACGCATTAACAGGTAAACGGTAATCTTGAACGATATTTCAGATTTTTAGTGCCCGGTTGGCGTATGGGCTGGATAATCATTCACGATCGTCAAAACGTTCTGGAGAAAGAGGTGGGTAATTGCACGATATATACGGTACAGCTCGAAAATAATTGCTTCTCCGTTCCGTATTGTTTCCGTAACAAGAACGAGACCAGATCCGTTTCTGCGTTCCACCTCTCCGCGATTGGATTAAATTTCGCGTTGATTAAATTTTATTCTATCGTTAAACTTCTT